TCCTCGATTCCCCAGAAGATAGAGGAAAGTATGAATGGGGGGGGAAGATGAAAACCCTAGAAAACATGAGAAAGCACGGGGGACCCTTTTCTTTGTGTGTATTCATGTGTGTGTCCCAGGGCCCCTTCAGAGAGAGATCAGGAGGGAAAGAAACACACAGACACAATTAATCGTCGATTCCTCAGAAAATATGGGAAAATATGGGAAGAAGGGGGGAAGACAAAAGCCCCCAAAAATATTGGAAAACATTCTGGGAATCTGTTTATTTGTGTGTATTTGTTTGTGTGTCCTGGCACCCCTTCAGAGAGAGAGAGAGGACGCGGGGCAGCAGGCCAGCGACGAGCGCGCCGGGCGGGGGGCCGGGCCCCGGGGCGGGGCACGCGGGCGCCACCAGTGGACACGTCCCCAGAGATCCGACGCACGGGAAAGAATCGGGGCGGAGGTTTTGCGCAGCGTTCGGCCTCCAGGGGCCTCCAGCGTTGAGAAAGACGTTGAGAAAAACACGTATTGAAAAGAGACAAATCAGGACGGAGGTTCTTCGCAGTCTTCGGCCTCCAGGGGCCCTCGCCGAGCCCCAGGACCGACGGATAAAAGGATTCGGGGTGAGGAGCCGGGCCTGGGGAATGGGTCGAGGCTTCTGGGGACCCCGTGTGGAAAAAGACACGACAACGGCTCCCTGGGTCGGGGGGGGGGGGGGAGAGACTCGCTGGCGGCGCCTGGGGGGGGGGGGCCGCGGTCTTCGAGCGCCTTCGGCGGCCCTCCTCCGCGGTGTTCTCCGGCCCCGGCCTGCCCTGCGGCCGCGCCTCGCCGGCTATTAGCGTGCCGGGGGTGCCCCCCAATGGCGTCCTGGACGGCCGCCCAAGGCCCTTGGGCTCGGGGTCGGCAAAGGTAGGGGAACAAAAAGTCACATAAACATAAAACTCGGAAACCTGCGCGGATTTCTCGGATCGGCGCTGGGGCCCCCTCCCTGGCGCACGGAGCGCGCCAGGGGCGGCGCCGGAGGCGCCGCCGGGGGGCCCCAGCGCCGATCGGAGGAATCCGCGCGGACCTCCGAGTTTTCATGTTTATGTCATGCCTTGTTCCCTTAAAAAGAAGGGGGATATCGTGGCGCGGGCCATGACAACTGCTCAAATTTCATGGCGCCTCTTCGTATTTCATTACGTCCCCAGCCCCCCCCCTTTGGGCCGCGCACACGCCGCCGGTCATGATCTGCACCACCCCCTCTTGGATGGGCAGGGCGGCCCGAAGACCACCCGGGGCAGAGCTGGGCTCAGGAGGGGGAGCGCATCGACCTCGCCGATCGGGGCCTGATCGCTCACCCCTCCCAGCAGCGTGTGGATGCGGTGTCGGCGATGTATCGTCGGTTTCGGGTCGACGTTTCCCCCTGAGCCGGGTCCCCCCCCTGCTCGATCTTTGGCATCGCTCGGACGTGTGCATTTTCCTTCGGCGAGGGCCATCGAGGAGCATCCTTGATCATTTGGCGAAAAAACCACGCACGAAACTGAAAAAAAACACAGGGAATGGACGTCCGAGCGATGGCCAGGATCCCCCTTCAGAATAGATGCCGACACCGCCAACTGATGCATGACTGATCTCAGCCGATTGTTGCCGGTGGCGCGTTTCGGGCGCCAGGCTCTTTTCCGGGCCAGGAGAGCGGGTGCGGTAATCCCGCGCGCGCTGCACAGCGCGCGGGCAAGGCAGCTAGGCAAGACTACGAGGTCGGAAAGTTCGCCAGCGCTGGATTCGCTTCGAGAAGGCTGGCCGGGAGGCGCCCCTGGACCTTGGAGTGGTCTGGGGACCAGCGGTCCTCGTATCCATTCTGGTTCCCCCGTACACGCTTTACGTCAATCCTTGGCCAAGGCCCGCCCTGGGCCTGGGCTCTGTGTGCCAGGCGCCTTCCTGGCAGGGGCCCAGAGGGCGCGCGCGGCAGGTGCGCGTCGAGCCGGCACGGCGGCGGCCCCCAGCAGGGGCGCCCGGGGCGGAAGGCCGCCGGTGGCCCGGAAGCGGCCGACACCGAACGATCTGCGCCGTCGGGAGGCCGCGGTAGGAGGAGGCCGGAAGCGGCCGACACCGAACGATCTGCGCCGTCGGGAGGCCGCGGTAGGAGGAGGAGGAGGAGGAGGAGGAGGAGGAGGAGGAGGAGGAGGAGGAGGCGGAGGCGGAGGAGGCGGAGCGAGCCGCGCGGTGCCAGGAGCCGGCGCGCAGGGCGCCAGGGGCTCGGGGCACGAGCCTGCCTGCCGTGCACTGGCGCCCAGAGGGCCAGGGCACGGGGCGGGCCCCGGCTAGGGGTCGCTGCAGCCCGACGGCTGCCCGCCCCGCCCAGGGCCGCGTGGCCTCGCTGCCGGCATCGCCGATGGATCGGCGGCGCATCGCCGAGTCCAGCGCAGTGTTCCCCCTCCCCCTCTGGGGCAGGTCGCCCCCTGTCGCTCCCCCCTCTCGGCCTGGGGCCTCTTGAGGGCCGTTCCTGGGGCCTCGTGGCGGCTTCGCGCGGGCGTCCATTCCCAGAGCCCCGACGCCATGATGTTTTGCACAACGTCGACCCCCAGAGGTCTGGACGCCTTCCCTGGGACCGGTTTGTCGTCCCGAGTCATTCTTGTTGACGTCCCCGCGGCCCGCGAAGGGTCCCGGGAGACCGAAAATTGCGAAACCCATCCCGTCGTGATTTTTTCACAGCGCGAGGGGGTCTGGGTCCTGGGGCCTCTTGGGTGCCTATGGGGCCTCCTGGGGGCCTCTTGGGACAGAAGGCTCGGATTTTCGGTTCGTGTTCCCTCTCTTGGGGCTCCTTTTGGGGCCGTTTGGGGGCCCTCTTGGGCCGACTTAGGCGCCTCCTGGGCCGCCTTGGGGCGCTCTTAGGCCGTCTTGGGACCCTCTTGGAGGCCTCCTGGGCCGTGTCGGGGTGGTCTTGGGGGCCTCTCTCGTCCTGGCCTTATGATGTTCCAACCGACATTAGCCTTGATCACCGTCATGAATTCGAGCGTACCCCAAAACTCAAGGGTTTTCACGTGTCGGGCCCTGGGAGACACTCTTTCGACACTCTTTCGACACTTTTCTGGGTGCTCGAAATTGTTTCTGGGATGTGGTCCTTGAGTCAGATGTGAACAACATAATCCTGGCCTTGGGGGCCGTGTGCGGGCGTCTGTCCTTGGCGGCCTCCTGCGTGCTGCGCCGCGCGCCCCTCGGCGGCGCCGCCTGCGGGCGCACCGCCGCCGCCGCGCGGCCGCCCCCGCGGCGGCTGGCCGCCCCCGCGCGGCGGGCGGGCCGGCCGCGCGCCGCGGCCGGGGCCGCCGCCGCCGCCGCCGAAGCGGCGGCGGGGCCGCTGCCGCACGGCCTGTCTGGTCGGCACAAACGGAACGGGTACCTCCTCCTCGTCGTCCTCCTCCTCGGCCTCCTCCTCCTCCTCCTCCTCCCTCCTCCTCCTCCTCATCATCCTCCTCATCCTCCTCCTCCTCCTGAATGGGTGTAATGCCCAACGGCAGTTCGTGTTCCTTTTGAGCAAGACTCGCTGCCCGCGCCGCCGCGGACGCTGTGCACTGAAGGCATAAGAAGCCGCCTGGCCAGCAGCGGCCGCACGTCGGTGTTTGCCAGCATCTGTGGTTGGGCATTGTACCCGTTTTTCCCGCACCCATTTCAGCGACGCCAAAAAAAAGATAGGTCGTCTTCGCCGACATTCGCGCGCACGCTGGCCGCACAAGGTCGTGCGCAAGCGCCCCCGTCTCCAGTGTGGCGTGCCGCGCTGGCAGTCCGCGTAAGCCGTGGCGTAAGGTTGCGGTGTCATCTCGCGTAAGACCCGCTTCTGATCGTCGCTAATTTCTCAGAAAGGAAAGAAACACACAGACACAATCAATCGCCGACCCCTCGGAAAATATTCAGGAGGGAAAGAAACACACAGACACAATTAATCGTCGACTCCCAGGAAAATATGGGATAATATGGGAAGTGGGGGGAAGACAAACACCCAGAAATTATGGGGAAATATAGGGGAGTCCTGTTATTTATGTGTAGTTATTCTTGTGTCCCAGGGCCCCTTATGGGAAAAACCATGGGGCAGGTGGGGGGGCAGACGAGAACCCAGAGGAGGGGGGAACGTGTGGGGAAAATCCTGGTGCCCGTGTGCACTTGTCTCTCTGCGTGGTGCCCTTGGGTCCCCTTCTCGGAGGCCCGCTGTTGCTCGTCCCGCTCGCGTCGGGGTTCTCCCGCTCGGCGAGGGGGGGGCCCCGGCGTGCCCCGACGTCGGCTCGGAGGAGGAGGAGGAGGAGGAGAATGGAGGTCTGAGAGCGAGGGGTCCGGGAGCCTCGAGATGGGGGTCAGTGCAAACGGGGGTCAGCCAGGGCACCGGATCCTGCAGCATCTAAAACGACGCGAAGATCGGGACAAAATCGGATCGGGATCACTCGAAATCTCTGAGAATCGGCGGGTCTGGAGGATGTATTGGGCGCCGCGGCCGCTCCAGGGCGTTCCGGAACGCGCTGAGAGCGCTCCGGGACGCTTTGGATCGATTTATCCCGATCCTGGCCCCGTTTTGCCCAGGGACGCTGGCCGCGGCGAGGCGCCCCTTGGCTCGCTCGCGGGCCCAGCAGACTGAAGGGGCCCAAGGACACTCGGGCTGGACGAAAGGGGGGGGACTGGGAAAGGGGGGCTGACGAAATCTGCTGCGTGCATGCCTGGTTTCGGCCCCACCGAGGGGCCCATTCCTCGATACATGGGCGCCTCCGGCGCCGGGAGGCGCCGGGGAAATCAGCTACGTGAGCTGATTCTCAAACCCCCCCTTTGCTATTTCCCCCTTACGCCCGGCCCGAGACACCCACACACATGCACACAGACAGCAGGGTTCCCCATAATTTCCCATATATCTTCTGGGTTCTCGTCTTCCCCCTTCACACTTCCCATGCTTTCCCACATGTTCCTGGGAGTCGACGATTCATTGTGCCTGTGTGTTTCTTCTCCCTCCTGACACATGATGTTCCAGGAGCCTTTTCTGTGGTGGCCTGCACGGGATGTTATTCGAACATGTCTGGCTGAGACCGCCTTGCTTTAGTACATCGGACTGATGCTCCGAGAAGGCCGTCTCTGTTCTCAGAGAACATGCTCGGGGTTCTGAGAACACGTCGTGGCAAGCCTGGAGGAGTGCCGGGATGGTCGGTCCCTGCTCAACAGACTTCAGCTCGGAATTCGGGAGACCCAGATATCCAGCGTAGTGACAGGGATCAAGAATCAAGGCTCACGTTTTTCTCCGCGCTCGGCCTCTATGACCATCAAGAAACGACTCAGGATGTCCCGGTCCTCGGGAAGGGGTCCAGATTTCTGAGGGTCACGTCGGGGAAAAAGCACGACGTCGGGGGTTTGGAGACGGGGGTCAAAGCAAGCGAGGGTCAGCCAGAGCGCCAGATCTTGCAGGATCCTGCAGAGCCAGGGGTGCGTTGACCTGGGTGAGCGTGCAGGATCCTGCAGGATTTTCTATCGCCGAGCGCGTTCCACTACTCGCAAAGTGCCTACTCGCAACGTCCGAAAATCCCACGTTCGCCTCGATGTAATCTATCGTAGATCCCCCACGGCGGATCCAGGCCACTTGCGAGTAGGAACTTTGCGAGGAGCGGAACGCGCTCCCGGGCCAGAGCGCCCCCGAGGGATGCCAACCCCAGAGCAGGAACAGGTACCGATGTTACCGATGTGCCGCTGCTCTTCCTGGAGCGCCCTCGTCGTGGCCAGGGTTCTCCTCGGAACTTTGGTCAGAAGGCAGCCCAGGAGTGGTCCGCGGAGCAGCGGTTCAAGCAGTGGCGAAGCGTCTTGGCGTGCCTATAGGCCTACCAAACAATTGTTCTAAGAACATTTCTGGCTGGGGCTGTCTTGTTTTAACACATCGGCTTGTTGTTCTAAGAAAATTGCTGTTGATCTTAGGACATTTTGGGGTTCTAAGAAAATTTCGTGGTAGGCCTATAGGAACGCCGGGACGGTCGGTCCCTGCTCAAGCGGTATCAGTATTTTGTTTGGTTTCCCCCCCCCCCAAAGAAAATAAACGTCTAATGTTTGGTTTCCCCATGAATCCATTCGGAGATGCCGAGGCGGCCGGTTCGTCGCCACATTCGGCCTCTGCGGGCCCGCTTCGGGCCTCGGGGGCGTCAAAAAGAGTTCGGGAGGAAGGATTCGCGTTGGGGAAGGGGTCGAGGGGTCTGGTGGCCTACGCATCGAAAGTTTCGAAACGCCGGATGTCCAGGATTCGTCAGCATCGTCACGATCATCCCAACCCCGACCCGGACAGAAGGTAGCTCTCCCGGCGTGCCCCCTCCAGGTAGGGGCGTGTGCCACGCGAAGCCCGGGGGAGACGGCACCAATTCCCACGCAGTTGGGGGGGTAGGTCGGACAACGGGGGCAAGGTTTCTCCCGCGGGGTGGGGGTTGGGATGATGGTGGTGGTGGTGGTGATGATGATGATCATGATGACGATCATGGTGATGGTGATGATGATGGCGATGGTGATGGCGATGACGACGATGATGATGATGGCGATGATGATAATGATGATGATGCTGATGTTGATGAAGAAGATGGCGATGATACTGGTGATGAGGATGATGATGATGATGATGATGATGATGATGATGATGATGATGATGATGATGATAATAATGATGATGATGATGATGATGATGATGATGATGATGATGATGATGATGATGATGGTAATGGCGATGGTGATAATAAGGAGGAGGAGGAGGAAGAGGTAGAGGACTTGTCAAGGATCTGGGCGTGTTGCCTCTGCTTCGATTTCCTTAGGGAGGGCTCATCAAGAGCTGATCCAGTACGGAGAGTTGTGCCCAGGGAAGAGGTCGAACTTTTTGGGGTTCGCGGATTGAAAGAACCAATCCGTTCGGCCGTCTGAGTACACCAAGAGCGAAGAACATGTCCATATCCATACCCTGGCGGTCTGGAGATCATGGCGCGATCACATAGATACGTTGTCCCGTGTGGACGTTGCGCGCGGGGCATCAGCGCAAAGCCACCCTGCATCCAGGGGTCACGGCCGAAAGGTCTGGACCGCCAGGCCGTGGATACGGATGTTGCTTCCACCCGCTATTACGGCAGGTTCGCGCTGCGTTGCGCGCGGTGACCGCGCGGGCTTCCGAGGTTGCACGCTGCCAGTGGCTTGGAATCGGCTGATATCGAACGATCTGCGCTATTGCATTGGCCGCACTCGCTCAAGGTTGAACAATCCACGCGATGTCAGAGACCAACGCCCAACGCCGACGTCATCCCGACGTGACATTGCCGTGGACATCACGCCGTTTGGTCGGCCAAGGAGCCAAGGAATTCGGCGAAGGAAATCGGTGCGTCGACACTGCAGCTTCCCACGCTTTCCACAGCCTTGGAAGCTGGGGGCGCCTGGCACAGAGACCTCCTTGGCCGACAGGACGACTTTGGTGCACATACTTCGGGCCCCTCCCAGGCCGTGGAGGACCTCGCCCGGTGGCGCGGCTGAAGCCCGAGCTGTCAAGGCAGGGGCCTCAGGGGTCCGAGATTTCTCGGAGCAGTGATCCACCCCGCTTCGAATGAGACGAATCTGCGCAGGCATGAATTGCCATTGTGGACGCCAAAGAGTGCACGATTGTATGACGGATGCGTAATGTCTGCGTTGCAGTCTTAGTGTTGCAGGCTACGTGGTGCAACATCTATATATATATATATATATATATGTGGATAGGTGTATATAAACACATCTGTACATACATATACATTTTAAATATATCTACATGTATGTATATATATATACATATACATATACATATACAATTTTGATATATATATATATATATATATATATATTAGAGTAGGCTGGGGGGGGCGGGCCGGTGCCGTACCCCCCATGGGGGGATTGGGGGGGTCCCAGGGCTCCCGGGACTGCCCGGGCCCGTTCCCAAATACACCACGACATGCTAAGAAGACCCTAAAGATTGCCAAGATAGCCCCCAGAGGCCCCAGACACACCGAAGATGGCCTCAGGATGGCTGACGCCGCCGCCAAAACGCCCCAAGAGCGCCTCCAGAGGTCCTTCCACTAGGCCCCACAAGCCGAAAATCATAAATTGTCACTTGGTTTTTGAAGCATTCTTGCGCTCTCCCATGTTCCGCCTCCCCACGGTCCCGGATCGCTCAAAAACGGCCGAAGAGGCTCCCAATAAAGCCTAGAGACAGCCCAGGAGGCTCCCCAGATAATTCAAGAGGGCCCGAAGAGCGCGACATTTCAAGGTCTCCGGCCTGAGAGGCTCCTAGGACGCCCCCGGAGGCCATCAAGAGGTTCCCAAGAAGCCCCGTGAGGCTCCCGAGAGGCCCCCCGGAAGCCCCGATAGGTCCCCAAGGGGCCCCCAGAGAAGTTCCCTGCGGGCACCCACGTATTTCCCAGACAGCTTTCCGGGAACATGATTCCTTGGGCTTCCGCCCACCGCCCCAACCATGTTCCCAATAATTAGGCTCGCCGACAAGGCCAAAAGGGGCCCCTCGGCAAGCCCCCAGGGCCCCCCCTCCTGAGAGAGCTTCCCGGGAACATGATTCTCGGGTTGCCGCCCTCTGCCCAAACTATGTTCTTTACACGCCTGCCAGGAAGAAAAAAAAAACAAAAAAACAAAAAAAACGAGAGTCCCAAGCAGCGCTACCTGCAGCACCGTGCGGAAACGCGTCAGGTCCCGAAGCCTCCGGAGGCGCCCAACGACACCCCAACAAATCATGTTCCCAGGAAGCCTTGCGGGAACATGATTCCTTACGCTTCCGCCCCCGGTCCCAACCATGCGTCACAAAATGCTTGTCGGGCAGCCCCCCAATGAACCTCATACACGCCATCATGTTACCAGAGAGCCTTCCGATAACATGATTCCTCAGGCTTCCGCTCCCCGCGCGCAACATGTTCCAACGTGCCTGTCAAGCAGGACTCGAAAGGGCCCTCAAGTATCTCCCTAGAAGCCCCACAAGATGCTTAGGACGACGAGGGCGACGATAGTGATGGTGATGGTGATCGTGATGCTGTGATGATGCTGACGACGATATCCACGACCACGGTGATGAGGAGGAGGAGGAGGATGACGATGCTGAGGATAATGATGGTGTGGATGTTGGTGATCATGATCATGATCATGCTGATGATGATGATGATGATGATGATGATGATGATGATGATGATGATGACGATGATGACGACGATGGTGTTGCTGCTACTGCTGCTGCTGTTGCTGATGATGATGATGATGATGATGATGATGATGATGATGATGATGATGATGATGATGATGATGATGATGATGATGATGATGATGATGATGTTGAGGCGGACGACGACGACGACGACGACGACGACGACGATGACGACGATGCCGATGCCGATGCCGATAGCGATTACGATGGGGATGACGAAGCTGCGGACGAGGATGAGCTCCCCGCGAGGTCCCAGGAAGTCCCCAAGGGTCCCCAAAGGAAAGCCCCCGGATGCCCCCCGAGACAGCCCAACACTGCATTTCCCCATAGAGGTTGTAGGGAACACGATATCTTATGCTTCCGCCCCCCCAGACCACCGCGAGGACAAGGACAACGACCAGGGAAAGGACGAGAGGAGCAGGACGAGGAGTTCGAGAAACGGAAAGGGCGGAAGAGGATAGGGCGACAGGCGCTGCGCCCCGCGCACGCCGCGACGCTTCCCGAGGAGAACGGGCGGGGGGCCGGAATCGGACGGGAGTAGGCTGGGGGAGAGCCCAAATTTGCGACCTCTGGTTCGCTCGGCGAACCAGGGGGGCCTCGAGGGTTCCAAGAGGGTTCAGATGGGGCCCCGGACCTTCAGAGGCGCCCAAGCTGGCCCAAGAGGCGCCCCAAGCGCCCCAGGTTGTCTGGAAGGTGGCTGAAGAGCGCGCCGAGATGGCTTCCGGACGGGCCACGAGCGCTCGAAGACAGCCCTTGACTGCTCCTAGGCGGCCACGAAAGCATTCAAGATGGCCCAACAGGCCGCCGAGAAGGCCCTCCGAGGGC